GCCCTGCCCATTTAACCTGCATGTTGTTGGGCTCATGAGTAATGGTGGGCCATTGGATGCAGGGAAATGCAGAGGAAGAGCTCTGCTAGTCACTGGCCCTGGTGACTAATGGGGAATCCATAGCACACTGACAGAAACCTCGCATCACAGGCAGAGGCCATTAACTGATCAGTGGCTACAGCAGATTACTCAAGGCAATTACAATGGGTGTGTGTCAGTGATGTCCTCCTCCCCGACTCCTCCGGGTCAGACTTCTCCATGTTCTGTCTTAAAAGACACTTCCACAAAGATGCTTTCAGTGTACAGCAGATAAATCCATGGCAAAGTCTCAATGGAAGGTTTCTATAAGAGAAAACCAGGAAGTGGGCAGTAAACTGTGTTTAGAAGTGAAATACTGAGGGGATATACCTACAATTCTTGGCGATATATATATTTACTGCAGCTGTGCATAATCTGATTATACACCACATTAAGTCTTAGAAATAACACCACAAATCACACCAGCCAAATAGAAAAGATCCTGCCAAAAGCATTTTCCATTCAATAAGGAAAGATTAATGACTGTTAGTACTAAATAAGTTCTCTAAATTCTAACACAGCAAAGACAGTAGGAGCCTGGTTGAACAGAACCATCCCGGTGACTCTGGGCCACTTTCTTTAACTACAAATTTCCGCCTTGCTTCCCAGTTTCTTCAGCCTATGCAGTAAAGGAGACAGTCCACCAGCAGGATATTAACCATTTCAATTAATTTTCATGAAAAATACATAAAGTTGGCTTTGAAGATGCCTGCTTTGATTGTAACTACAAGTTACAGTTGGGTTTGGAGGCCAGAGGTTTAAACGGCCAGCTCCCTGTCTGTGTTTTAGTCTTGATGAAAAGAAACAAAAATGTTTATACTGGTTGCTGTCAGATGTAATTCTGGTAATATATATATATACATATACATATATTTATATATATATATATAAATGTGTGTGTGTGTGTCTATACTGCGAAAAAAATTCTGAGAGACTAATTCCTTTCTATTTTAACACAGTTCTGTTGTTGTGGGGACCAATGATCCAACATTGGCACAGTTTTCCATTGTTCATGTTTAATATATCACTTCTAGTGCAATGGAACATGACCTGTATGCTAATGACCACTTTATGTTCTATGAGTACTTTCTAACACATCTCTGGCTATCTTAAGTATCAGTCCTCTGACCAGTAATGTCAGACTAATATATGAAATTGAGCAGATCTTTTACTGTTTACACATTTGGCCATAAAAAAAGGAAGAAAGTATTTCCTGTTAACAACTGCAAGGTTCATCTTTAGGCCTATATCTGTTGTGTTAAAGTCTAGTGACTTATATCAACAGTTCTTTAGTAACACTTTAATCCACATCATTATTCATTATATTACAATGCCATTGGCCAGAAAGGGGGGAAAATATGTATATTTTCTCACAGTCACAAATGCCAACCCTGTAGTGATGTTATAAAAAGGTGCCATCAACTTCAGATAGCGTCCTCCTCCTGGGACCGGGATTTCTTTTTATATCAGTCCATTAAATGAGTAATTCTGAATGCATTTACATGTAAATGAACTTCCTCGTTGTGTTCAGCTGTTTGAAGAATAAGCCAAGCAGAATTTAAGAGAATAAATTGTACAATTTGAATCTTTTTGATCTTTTTAGACAAAGTACCGAATCTTGTTGTTTTGGTAACGTTTGCATAGAAATGTATACTTGTGCCTATTTAAAGTATTTCTTTGTTTTTTAATTATTCAGAAAAACTTTATCTGCTATTTCACATTAGAGGCCAATAATGCCTTTCTTCTCAGCATCACAATTTTGGGGATTCTATACTTCTGAAACCAAGCATCCTTTTTAAGGTTGCAGAGTTTGTTAACTCACCAGGGATCTCACACTTATGGGCGCAAACCTCCTGTTGAGTTTGACAGCCCTGCCCTGGACAGTCCAGCAGCCCATGACTGGACCACAGAGTACTATGAGAAAATCTACATCAACACAAAAAGGGTCAAAACATAAAATACTCCATACAGAAAGAACCAGTAGTTACATATGCAGTAAGACACTGTACTAATTGCTGTAAGACCCTCTCACCCTCAGGTTAGACTAGTGCCTCAACTCAGCATTATGTTTCCCCTCACTCGGCACACTAACACATCAACATATCAACAGCAGACACACCCATACAGAGCTGCCATGATTAGTTTGTCAGATTCATAGAAAAAATCAGATGTGTTGACAGTGTGTGTTCGAATAGAATATGGGCGAGGCCAGTTCCAATCACATGGACCTGTGATGCATTTTATTGCCAGGTGTCAAAAGCCATACATCTAGCAGGACACGTGTGATCACATCACACAAGACAGATGTTGATACCAGGTCTGAAGAGAAGGCTTTGACGCAGAGCAGTTGTCAAGATGAAAATGTAATCAGACATCAACAAGAGATGTACAGCGTCTTCTCCGTTACATTCTCTGTAGATGATTACCACAGTTATTCTTGATCTCACAGCACACCTCCATTCCCATTTGTCAAGGTGTGATTAAGTAGCACACACAGAAAAGTAGTAAGACGAACTCCCGGGGAGGCAGCAAATTAAAGTTATGACACCTGAAAAAGTATAGCAGAAGCAGAGGACAATGAACAGGGACAGAAAAGGAGGACAAATCCTGGGAGGGGAAAAGTGGAAGCGATAATCTAAGATGAAGTCTAAGAATTCAAAATAATAAAAGCTTATCCTCCGACATTCAACTCAGACCTCATGCTTCCATCACTGCTATTTGACACTGTAACAAGGCACATGGAGCTCATGATAAGCAGTTGTACAATTAGTACAAGACATAACAGCCTTGGTGATGATGTTTAGAGAGACCGCACAGCTGGAACTGGCTCTGGAGAGAGTCCTTGGTAAAAGCCTTCATCAAGGTAACATTTGTTTGTGCTTCAGTGCAGATCTCTCACTTTGGCACTTCCTCAATGTTACTCACTAGTAGGAGTCATCACTACTGGCACAAATCAAATTCAATTAAATGATTTTCAATAGGAAGAAAAAAGGCCGTCTGTTATCAGCCGGGCTCATTTGCACACAGTGACCTTGGTGCTGAGGGTGGAATTAGCATTCTCATAGTTTGCATGGAGTAACTAAGGAGGAGAAGAAAGAAGAAAAAAGAAAGAAAACAGTACACACAGTGGGTGGCCTACAACAGAGACAAAAAGGAGCGTGTCAGAGTAAGAGAGAGAATTATGTAGACAAAGAAAATAAATGAGACATGAAAAGAGCAAGACGGCCCGGAAAGAGAGAAATGTAAAACTAATGGTGAGTTAAAAGAGTTCTGAACTTGAATTATTTGCTAGACATCTTCGCCCAAAACCGTCAGTATAACAATTCAGAAAAATCCTTATGAATAACTTTTTCAAAAAGACAGAATACAGTAGACCCTCTGTGAACACACAGTTAAATCTATCCTAAAAGAGACCAAAATTAAAAAAAGACAATGTGACCCACACACTTTACGTTAACAACCAGTTTTTCAGCTTAAAGTAGGTAAAAATTACAATTTAAAATCATTGTAGAGCCACA